TGTGTGGTCCCGCCCTGCCCATTTCAGGGGTGCAGCACATGCTCAGTTTCAATGCACAAAGCTGTGGGCTCTGCTTGTTTATCCCCATCCCACTCCTTCATCTTCAGTGCTAGCAGAAGTGGGAATGTTCATTCCTGCATGAACTCACTTGTCTTTATCATCAGCCCTTGGGCTGTGACTGTGGCAACAGGATCCCTGCCTTCTATGGCTGAGAAAGGGACAGTTATTAATGCTCTGCCAAAGGTGGTGTAGCAACTTGATAAAATCTTTTATCTTCATCTTATTGTTTCATTCCTGTCATAGTTGCCTAAGATTTAATCACAATGATCAGTCTTCTTTTTTGTAAAAATATTGCAATCATATTATCTGAGCTTGTAGGAAAAAACCTACCATTTGACTTTGTATCTATAAATTTTCCTAGATGCAAGCCACTTTGAAATTCAACAGTTTTCATCTGCCTGCCCGTCCAGGCAGAGAATTACCAAGCAATTGGATAAACTAACACAAAGAAGTTAGGTTGCTCTATTTTACAATATTCACCTTCTTTATTTGGGGTTTTTGCAGCTCGTGTGTCTGATGAGCCACCAGGGCCCTCTTGAAGACACTCTTGAGGCTTCCTTGTCTTCATGGCACTAGTCAGAAAGCAGATCTGCTGGGTGTGCTTTTTCAGGCTTTCAAAGATTACCGAGTATGAACCAGTTTCTCAGCTCTTATCACCTGAATGGTGAAAATACCTTAAGTGACTCTGGGGACGTGATAATTCACTTATCTTGGAGCATAAAGTGTAGCTGCAATAGCTTAACCACCTGCAGATGCAAATAAATTGAGTGCAAAATGTAAATGCATCTCAACATCCTGTTTGGCTTAGAATGAGGTCAAAATATTGTTAGGGTTCTTCATTTACTTTATTGAATATTTGTATGTGAGAATTTGCAAAGTGCTATTCAATAATGCCTTTTCTTTTGCTAATGAGATGGCAGTATTAGCAGAGCTGAAGATGTGATCATTGATGCCGAAGGCATCAGGATCTTCTACAGCGCTGTCTGTGCATGGGGTGGGGTGGGGGCCTCAGATGGATTTGTAATTCCAGTGATCCTTCTGCAAGGGGCTGCCTTAGCGGGTAGGTCAGGGACAGGGCAGGTCTCCTGACTCCCCATCTTCTGCTCTCACACTTTTGCTTTTTGAGGTACATTTATAAGTTGACTGAGAAAGTTTTAGGGAAGCAAGTCACGGTTTGAGAAACTTAAAAGCTTTCATCTACTGCTGAGCTTATCAAGTGCTCCGAGGAACTTTCAAACCTGATTGTGATCTAATCATCTAGGAAGAAGTGCTAGATGCTTCCTTTGGTTACTGTGAGTCATGCTATCCCGTGTTGACTCTATGGAGGGCAGACACTGCAGAATCTGTTTGCTTCTGTTGGCAACAGTAAGACAAACAGTCCTCTTTTTAAAGCCTGAGATTTGATGTAATCTGGGAGTTGTTATAAAAGGTGTCTTGGAATAATTGGCTTATGTAACAGCTGATTATACACAAAGAGGAGAGAGACCTAGCTCAAATGTAGCATTTGAAGGAAACTGCCTCTAGTGCAAAAAGCAGTGGTCTGCATGTGGTTTGGGATACTTGTATTTTCATGCTCCCATTCTTTAGTCACAGATAAACTCAACAGACCCTTGTCTGTACCCAAATCTGTGTGCCAAATTAGTCCCTGTTCGAACTTCACAAAGACTCAGCTGAGTTGAGATGATCAGGTGATTAATTAGATAATTGCCACTCGTGACTGGTGCTTTTATTTATTTGCTTCTGAAATCAGTGGGAGCTTCTTTCACTTGTAGGTGTTTGCAGTGGTGGTTGCTTGGGTGTGCCCCTTCACCCCTTTTCCTGTACTGCCATCTTTCACACTTGTGCATCTGTGTGTGTGTTTATTTGTCATTGTGGGCCTGTTTCTGGGCCTGAATTGAATACAGAAGGGGCTCAGATAGGAGGGGATTGGTCACGTGGGTAATGGGCCGGAGAGTGAGAGGGTCCACTGGCTAGCGTGGGTTCTTGCTTTTACTAATGATGGAAATTAAAACTAAACCCTGAATCTTCAGGAAAAAAGTTTTAGTTGAAAATCAAGAGAAGATGGTAAGTGACTTTAACTGGAGGAGCTGACAAGTGTCAAGCTGGTCCTTAACAAAGGAGGTAAGAGCAAATAGATAAAGGATTGGAGCTTGAGTAATTGGAGGGGCACACTCTGGTGGAGGGAGTAGAAGGTCCCCCCATCAGGAAAGCAGAACTTCAGCTTTTAAGGATTAGCCAAAGTGGCCAGCGTCTGGTGAATCATTATCTCCGTCCTGGCTCCTGGCTCAGGTTGAATCTTGTGTTATGTGTGGCAATTCTGTTCCCAGGGAAGAATCCTCATGACTTGAGGGACAATTTCAGTCATCTGAGGCTCTGCTGGAGTCCAAAGTGACCTTAGATTTAGGGGACTGGAAATTCTGGGAGTCACCTGAATGTCTTTGTAAATCTTGTGTCTTGGTATCCATGGTCTTAAAGGGAATTAAATAAATTAAGTAAATTTAATAAATTTAATAAACCTTGTTTTGTCAACTTTTAGACTGACATTCCCTAAATTGCTAGCGTGCCTATATTGAGAAGGCTTTGACCCAGAGTTTTACAAAATGAAGATCAAGCTTTGTTCTACGCTTAGTTATCTATTGGGTATTTGTAGGCACAAATGAAATCATAGTTCTTAGCAAAAACCACTTTTTAAGTCCCTATCTTGGGAGAAAACATAAATCATCTTTTAACGAATAACTGGTTAAGGGGCCAGGAGTTAGTCTGTCCTTTGTCACTATGGTGGTTTCTGACTGTGTCAGTTTATGTCATGTAGATTAGTTCAAATGTGTATCTGGCACCAGAAAAAAATTTGAGGACATAATGGAGACTTGTCAACTAAAGGCCTTCTATTCTTTTTTTCCTTTTCTTTTCTTTTTCTTCTTCTTTTTTTTTTTTTTTTTTTTTGGTACTGGGAATTGAACTCAAGATCTTGCACTTGCTGGGCAGGTGCTTATATCACTGAGCTATATCCCCAGCCCTAATGTCTTCTTTTTCTGGTCTACGTCTCTCCTGTTAGATCTGTCTGTTATTTGGTGTGCTGTAGGCATGGCACCTCAAAAGAGAGGGACTTTACTATTTACTGTATTAATCTCTAACCCTTCCTACTTTGCTGCTGGGCATTAAACTCAGGGTCTCTTTCCTGCTAAGAGTGAGTTTTACCACCAGCCTCATCCTTCCCTGATTTTTAATGTTCTCTTTGCCTTTAAGTGCTGGGGAAAGTCCTGAGGCCTGATTACCTTAATGTGTTTAGTAGATTAAATATTCAAGTTTCTGACTTTAAGGATACAATATTTTTGTTTTCATTTTTGATACAGGGTCTTGCTATGTAGTTCAGGTAGCCCTGAACTCCCTGTGTAGCCCAGGCTGACCTTGAATTGACTCTCTTGCCTCAACCCTCTGAGTGCTAGGATTACAGGCATGTACCTCACTGGATACAGTCTTTTACATCTACCTCTAGGGTCATACCATAATTACTTTATGTATTTCTGGCTCAGAATAGTAGTACTGATTATCAAAATTCTGGCATAAAATTCTTAAATGTTCTATGTACCATATGTCTCTTTGTTTTGGTAACTACACATTGGTAATAATCATTCATGTACTCATCAGAGAATAATTGTTTCTAACCAAATGAAGACGAGAAAGTGGTAGGTATCTGAAAATTACTGTTACTCCAAAGAAAAAGATAGGATTTTTTAAAAAGATGGATTGGCATGTTTGTGATTTTATTTACATTAATGGCATTCTCAAGCATTAACTTACAGTCTACTTGAATTCATGTAGAGCCTAAAAACCTAATGGAAAACTTATTTCAGTAAATGGCTTGTAGAAGAGAACTTGCCACAAATTGAAATTTATTTTTTTTCCTTAAACTTGCATAGCCAAGAATTGACACGTTTTGTTGCACATTCATCTTTACTCTTTTGCCATACAAGAGATCAAACCCAAGGCCTAGTGCATGCTAAGCACACAGGCTAGCACAGAGCTACATTTGCAGCCCATGTGGCATAGTATTACACTAAGGGTGTAAACTGTTTATTACACCTCTATATTTACTCTTTTACATCTTAAAAAGAAATTAACAATTCCATCACTTTTGAGATTTCTTGAATGAAATAAAGTTTCTCTAAAAATTTGCAAATGGTCAGAATAAAACATACTTTGGAACTTCAGTTTCAAGAAGTTAGCATGTGAGGTACTCTGTTGTGCATGTGAAATGCTAGGAGGTGCCATCCTGGGCCCTGACAGAGGTCATTTCCTCAGGCCTCAAGGGTTCACTTGGTCTCTGGTTCCAGACCTCCATTAAGGCACGTGGTCCCATATTCCCGGAGGAGGTTATCTACTCTGATAGCTTTTGGTAAATTTCCCAGTAAATGTAAACCAACATTATCTTGAAGATGAACTTTCTCTTGGTCAAATGAAGAGCACTGAAGTTTTTCTGGAGTGTATCTTTCATACCTTTGCTTCCACCATTAACATGGTAAATGGATAATTTTTTTGGATTTTTTCTTTTTATCGGTACCGGGGATTGAATTCACGACTGCCTGCTTGCAAGGCAGGTGCTTATGCCGCTGAGCTAAATCCCCAGCCCCTAAATGGATAATTTTAATGGCAGATTTATTTTGCTTTTTGTATTTTTTCAAAAAATACTAAGTACTTGGTATATATTGGGCACAAGTATATGTATCTCCCATGTGTATTTCACATGTTGGGTAAAACAGAACAGGACAGTGTTGTTGCAAACCAGTCAAGTCATTCAACCTCTAAAAGAAATCTATAAAGTGACATATTTTGTCTCTCATAAAATTAATATTTGTGATATAATCTCTCTACTTCTTATTAGCCCAAAATAGCACTATTCATGTCTACTGTCTGAGGCTTCCTTTCTGCTTGCTTTTCAGAAATGTGAAAACAAAAACTGGAGAATGGTTCTTTGAGGAACGAGCCAAGAAATTTCCAACTGAAGGTAAAAAGTCTTGGAATGTTCATTCAACTAAACTCACTCATTCCTAGCTTTAAAATATTTGGTGATAAGACTTTAATTATGAAAAAACTATGGGTTTAGAATTGTCAAAAGACAAAATAACAATAATTTTCTTATGGATCTAACAACTTTTTAACAGCTCACAAGTCAGGCAGCCTTCACTACAAAACAAAATGAGAGCTTGTGATAGAAGCTCAGTGGGGTTTATTAGATGGGGACAGGAGACAGAACACTAAGCTGATTGGCTAATAGCTTATTTCAAGTTACTATTTTGTAAGGATTAAAGCAAATGTCCTTTGTATATGGATTCATGTAGACGGGAATCTTTTGTTTTGGGGTAAAATGGTTTATTTGGGGATTTGCAGATAGGTATCTGCTTCTTTAGAGTTTCAGTTTGATTATGTGGTGCTTAGCATACATAAGTGACTCCATTTTATTTTGGTCTGGTCTGTTAGGGTCTACTACAGGAACAACAGCCTCCGTGATTCCTTTTTAATAGTATACAGGCCCCGGTGTCGGGTCCTCCTATTTTTCTTACTTGAGCTTAGCTCCTTCTGTTCCTTAGCTCACACCATTCTTTCTTCTGTCTTTTCCCTTTCCACTTTCGTTTCCACCTTTGAGCTGACCACCGAAGGCTTCTGCTCCATGAAATTTCCCTGATCTCTTGCTTCTAGGAGTGATCCGTTTTCTCTAGAACACCAGCAGCTTCCCAGTTGAACATTTCTCCCTTAATTATTGCAAAGTGCCTTTTATTACAGAATTATCCACATGCTTCTATTTCATTCCATAAGCAGAAAGTGCTTTTAAAAAGCTCATTGCCTCATAGCATCAATCTCAATACTTTGTTCTTGATCTTCAGCAAAATAATTAAACCTGAAGACCACAGGGAATGAATAGTACTAAAAGAGAGCAGATACGGATGGCTCCATGGTGAGCACATGATGACTATGAGTGGGAGTGTGCTTTTGATCTGGATACCGTGAAGGTTCTATAATGAAGTACTTGCAGAGTATGATGTGACTGTGTAATCAGTAGCTAAAACAAAACCATGCAGGGAATCAGTAGTGCTTTGGTCATAGAACTGAGCATGATCAAGAGCCAAACAAAGGTGGACACATATGTCATCACAATCCACTCTTCCGTGACCATGATGGTAGGGCCTTAGACCAACCTAGAGAGTATAGAGTAACTTGAAACACATTTTCTAGGAAAAATGAGTCTGAGATAGAGAAATAAGCCATCTCCAGATCTGTTGGCAGCAAAAAAAGTCATTCATCTGAGCACTGATACTCAGCTTTTATAAATGGCTCTGGTGCCTGAGGTACAAGTTCAGGAAGTATTAAATTCTCTCCTAGATTGTATTCTTCACCCTCCTTACACAAGAAAAAAATGATGCTCCTGCAGAGTTCACTGGAGATCTGAAGGAAGAGAAAATGGTCAGACAACAGAAGGGGCAATTATGTCCACCTTCATCAAAGCCAGTGTTTTATCCCTCCCCTACTCTAAGTAGCTTTGTTAGGTGCTTTCCTAATCCTGTGCCCTACATTTTGATACCCAGGCCATGTGTGCATGTTAATATGCTGAAGCCTTCTGGACAGCCACACACTACTCATTGTGTAGCTAAAATGTGTTTGTCCCCTGAATACTAATTTCTGCCTTAAAAATTGCCCTCCCCACTAACTTTTAGAATGTGTAATTGAGGCAAATTATTATTACAATTATATATAATTATCGATTTGTTTCATTTTTCCAAACTATTTTCTTTGTTGGGGATCTAGAGCCCTTATCAAGTGGGAGATATATTCTCGTATTCTCTGAGTCTCTGTGTCTCTCTGACCCCCCTCCGTTTCTGTCCTCTTCTCCCTCCCCTTCTCCCCTCCCCCTTTCCCACATTTCTAGTTCAGAAATAAGACTGTAGTTACTAAAATTTGTAACTTCTCAATACCAAGACATCTTGAAAATGTTTTAGACATTATCACATCATTATGTCAGATACATGAATTGATGTTCAGTCCCAGACACACATACGCACATGGGCATGAATGTGTGCCTGTGTGTGTGTGCCCACATGGTGTGTGTGTGTGTGTGAGATTGGGTGTGGGTGAGTTTGTGCATACATGTGTATATACACCGTTATCTTTTTAGCACCTCTTCCTCTTCCTCTTCTGATGGAGTGGGAGATGTAGGTTACCATGGTGACTTGCTGAGCTAAAAGGGGGAGGTGGAAAGAGATAAAACTGACTTTCTAGGGTTCCTTTCTTGCCTGGCAACTTTCTACAAGAAATAAAACATCAATTAGGAAAGAAGCCAGGCATGGTGGTGAATGGCTATAATCCCATCACTCTGGGAGACTGAGGCAGGAGGATTGCAAGTTCAAGCCCAGCAATTGATCAAGTAGCTGTTTAAAAATAAAATAAAAAGGCCTGGGGATGTGACTCAGTGTGAAGGTCCCAGGTTCAATTCCCAGGACTGCTAATAATCATAGTGAAGAAGAAAAGAAAGAAAAACTTAAAGATTGTCAATTGAAGCACAAATTATATTTTTTGTTATTTCTGCCAACTTATAAAACAAACACCACTAAACAGAAAAACCCCAAATTTGTTCTCTCCTGCTTCCTCAAATGCTGTGATGTTACATGTTCTTTCTGGCCTATTTCAGTGGTGTGGGGTTCAAGAGGCACAGAGAGGTGCAGAAAACTGCCAGGCAGGGCAACACAAGTAGTTTTTTGAGGCAGACCTGCTGGAGATGGAGTTTGCAGCAGGCAGCTCAGGAAAGGAAACGAGGCTCATCTGCTGAAGGCTTGCGAGGCTCACATGGGTTGGCAGGGATCCACCTTCCTCCTTCCTGTCTGTGCTGCTAAAGAAGAACCTGGAACAACAATGGGCAGGTGCAATTAAATCTGTGCGCTGTGACAGTTACGGTCTAGTTAGGAAAATAGAAACCATGTGGCAATTAAACAGTGAGCGCTGAATTCAGGGGTTAATTAAGCAGATACTGTTGGGGGGCTGAAAGAGCAAACAGGAGCAGTGAGGGGTCACAGAGAAGGTAACGGCAGAAGCAGACATCTGCTGGTCTGCAGAGAAGAGCTTGCTCTTCTCTTTCAAAAGAAGGTTTTTATTTTCTGATGCTAGAAGTAATTGCACTCTGCAGGATATCTGCATGGCTCTTTGTAGGACCTGTGTTATGTGTATGGGACACAGAACCAAATACAAAAGGCCATACAAATTCCCATCTTTTTCCTAGGTAATCATGGGCATGTCTGTAGACTCATCAATTTGTGAATGTATTTATGATCAGCTTCTATGCAATTTTGTTTTTCTGGTGCTAAGACTGAACTGAAAGCCCTGTGTGTAAGCATGTTCTCTACTGCTGAACGCCACCCACATCCTATGCATAGTTTTATCTTTCAAAATTCAACTTAGTGTAAACATTTTCCTATGATTACAATTTCTTCCAAAACACACTGATGACTCTATGAAATGTGGATGACTCTATATTCAGTCAGTACAATTTATTTAATGAATCCCTTATTATCAGTTACTATGTCATTTGATTTTTCATAATATAGGTAACTTTGTAATAAACATGTGTGCATTTTGGCAGCTCTTTATTTTTTTTAGGATAGATTCTTACAAGAATGGCCAGTAAAATGTGTGAACATCTGCATGGCTTTTGATATGTTTTGTCACATTTCTGTCCAGAAAGGACACATTCATTTACCTTCTTCCAGCTGAGTACACGAGCTGCCTTCTCTCCTCTCAGCCCTCATTCTGTCTTTGAAGCATGATTTCAAATTATATTTGTGATTTTGTTTTGAACATAAATGTAATATATATTCATTTAAAAAATAGAAAATGGGGCTGAGGATGTAGTTCAAAGAAATTTTAAAAAGCCACAAAGTCAATGTTAACACAACCTCCTTCAGAGAGCAATTGTTAACATTTTGTTGCACTCCTAAAAAAACAGAAATGCCCATGTTGTGGGTATGTATAAGTGTGTATTTTTACATATATATTATACACACATTTTTAAAAAGGTTGAACCATAAAAAATTTTTGTAGGTTTAAAAAATTATCCAATAGAGGCAACTTCATAAGTGTTAAGGCCAGTATATTTATGCAAATGGAATCAAGTTTATAATTTTATCTTGATGTTTCTTTATGTAATAATTTATAAAGATTATTTTCTGTATCTGTGTGATTTCTGATCCTTCATCTAATTCCAACATTAGAAACAATCATCATTTGTTTAGCCAACTTGTGATTGTTTGATGATTAGGGCATTTCCAATTTCTTGTTACTATCTGGAGATTTTATAATGTTAAAGTAATAAATAACACTGCAGTTGACAACCTTGTAGGTAACTCTTTAGCATTTCTCTAAGTATTTCTAAAAAGAGTGGCAGGATGGTGGTTAGGAATATTGCCTTCAGAATGGATATGACTGAATATTTGTGTGAATTACGCTAAAAAGAAACTAAAAAAACTTTGGTAGGTTGATAAAATCATACTGACGGTATGAAATGATGTTCTGTTTTAATTTCAATTCATCTAATTACTAATGAAATGGAACATTTTCCACTTTTTTGAACTTTAATAGATGTTCTTTGTATGTTAACACTATTAGTTCTTGTCAGTGGTGTTAGCTACAGATGTATCTTCCCAGTTTGTAGTGTATTTAAATTTTATGGTTTCTGACATACAGAAGTTTGTTTATAGTCAAATCTGTTTTCTCTTATGTACTTCTCTCCCTCCCTTTCTATCTCTCTTCCTCTCTTTCTCTTTTATGCCTAGGGACCTTTTCTTTGTCCTGCAATCAGTTAAATATTCACAGTTATTTTCTAATTTTTACTTAATTCTTCTCAGTCCTCAGTGTTCCAGGTAGTGATCTGACATAATCTGTCAGGCCCCACTGTTTTAAAACCCAGGGCTATTGATTTGCACAATTTGAGGGTACTGTTCCCGTTCTCTGTGCTGCAAGAAG